ATTTGACGGGATGGGCCCAGGCCTTATTTTGTTCCGATCAAATCAAACCACGTACGCGGGAGAACAGATAGGCGCACACCCGGGGCGCAAGCAAGTCTTCGTCCATGGATGCATGCACCGGGGGTGGTGGAGCTGCCGGCCGACTGGACGGACTTGATTGTTTATCAACCAAGTGGTACATGTTGGTATTCACAGCATTTTTTTTATGCATACATCAGCACACTCGCTAGACCAAGTGCGCTATATGCTATATTTTTAACGTGCCCTCTTGTGCCACATTAAATAAAACACCTAAAAACATTGTGCAGCTACAGTGAGAGGTATATCTCGCAGTTTCTATGAAATTGCTGGGTCTTGTTCAAAGCACTGGACGGCGCGTGGGCAGGTCTGGACGATGAACCTCGTGGGTAACACGAAGGGGTGTGAAACGTTTGTACCAAATTTCTTTGTTCTTCCAGAAGCACGATCGTGGGAGCAGATCTGAACAAAAAACACTCACAGTACTACAACGTAGGAGAGGATCGGTGATATGCGACCGATGATGCAAAATGGTGTTGGGTATCCAGCAACAGAACAGCTTTCCAATTTGCTTTGCCAGACGTGAGAGATGATGACAAGCGGTGCGGCTTCTCACCAAACCCAGACTTTTTGATCGTGAGCGTCCCTATCCCACACGGTCCGGGCCGTTCATGCATGCTCCCTTTCCGTGGAACGGAATGGGACGCCGGCGATGTTTACTTTGCTTGTGCTGTGTTCGAAAGTACCCTACCGTAACTCCGTAAGCGGTAGCAAGTTGACAGAAAGGTTTGAAACGTTCCAACCTATTCAAGGCGGCCGTGGCAGACGGCCAGACCCATGTCATTCTCTCTTGCTCTCCACTATATATAGTGCACCAGCTCTGTCTCCGGTCCAACACACACAAGGGGAACTCACCAGCTCCACGACCAGAGGAGCCGACACCCAACCCAGTACCAACGCGCTCCGAGCACACCAAGACAACATGCGTCCATCTCAGGACCTCCGGCTGGCCGTGCTCCTCCTTTTGTCAGCCTCCGTCCTCCTCCCCACAGCCAGAGCCCAGCAGGAAACCGAGGAGGAGGAGGAGTTCAGCTACTCGCTGGACGCAGAGAATGGGCCGGCGCACTGGGGCGACATCAAGGAGGAGTGGTCCGCGTGCGGCAAGGGCAACATGCAGTCGCCCATCGACCTCGCCAGCCCGCGCGTCTCCCTCGTGCGCGGCCTCGGCTACCTCAACCACTCCTACGCCCCAGCCAACGCCACCATCGTCAACCGCGGCCACGACATCATGCTCAAGTTCGAGGGCGACGCCGGGAGCGTCTCCATCGGTGGCACGCCCTACTTCCTCCGGCAGTTGCACTGGCACTCCCCCACGGAGCACAGTGTCAACGGCCGCCGGTACGACATGGAGCTACACATGTTCCATGAGAGCACCGAGGGCAAGGCCGCCGTCATCGGCATCTTCTACGAAATCGGTGCCCACGACGCCTTCCTGCACAAGGTGCCTCTCTTTTCTTTCTTGCTTCTTTTCTTTAGTTAACCAACCAGGATTAATTAAGCTTGATTAACTAAAGCAAACACGGCAGCATGGGACTTAACTTAATTATAAGTAAGCTTAACTAACAACAACATGGCAACATGGGACTAATTCTAATCTTGTACTACGAACGCAGCTGGAGCCATACCTGGAAATGATAGCGGATCGGAAGGACAGGGAGGAGAAGATGGGGATGATGGACCCGAGGGGCGCCCGGGGCAAGGCCAGCGTCTACTACCGCTACCTGGGCTCCCTCACCACCCCGCCCTGCTCAGAAGGGGTCATCTGGACCATAGTCAAGAGGGTACGTCCCGTTTCATTCATTCACCGTCACACATCACCTTGCATCATACACAACTACCAACTAACAACTATCAGTAAAATATTTCATTTCTGTCCATCACATGACACACTACTTGCAACTGTCAAACAAAAGAATTCGTTTCTGGAACTTAGCAGTTGGCACGGAGCTACCGGTTCGATCTATCTACAGATCCTTTGATTCGTTATTCACAAAGAATCTTCCCACCGGTTTCGTCATTCCCTCACTTCGGATTGATTGGAATTTAGATCAGTGGAACGCACACGCCAGCTAGCTAGATGTGTGCACACGTCCTATTGTACGCCATGCATTGCTTGGTTGGTGAATAAGGATGGAATTGATATATATTTCATGTTACTGAAACTTTTCTTTTCCTATGACTGGTTGAATTTGCAGGTGCGCACTGTGTCGAGGCACCAGCTGGAGCTTCTTAGGGAGGCTGTTCATGATGTAAGTTTTTTTCCCTTCTGTTTCTCTAATCCTTTTCATGAAAGAGAAGTCTTGCTATTCTCCTCGTGCATTCAACTCTTGTCTTTCAGCACTTTACATCGGATGGTAGACCTTAACCGTGGACCGCTAGAAATTCCACAGCGGCATGAAAGCCGCCTTTAATTTCGTCTATCTCCACCCATGGACTCGAAATTTTTTGGACTGATTTTCCTTCAACCCTACATGCAGGACATGGAGAAGAACGCGAGGCCCCGTCAGGAGGTGAACAGCAGAGATATCAGCATGTTCCGGCCTTTTGAGCAAAATAGACATTGATTACTAGTGTTGGTCCTTTGGCTAATTAGTCTGGTGCTTCAGCTATTTTTTATGTATATGGTTATATCATTTTTGTACGTAGTAGTTATTTCCATCCACTTTCAAACTTTCTATACGGCTACTGAATAATAAATGAACACGACCAGTTCATGTCCATGCATATCTTGATGTTTTTTTTTTGCGGGAATGCATATCTTGATGCTGACATCTTGGGATCTACCAGATCATCTATACGATTGTTGTTGGGATTTGATTATGGTTTTGTACCTCCAAATGAAATAAAGCCATCCATGGCTAATTCTTGTGTTACCCATATTCATCGTGGCCAAAATACCGTGAGTCACTTTATGGCCAATTTTGGCAGAACACAGCATAGTCTTGTTTGGCCTGGCTCCGGTCCGAAGAACGTCTAGACTTTTTTTTTAACAAACATCTCCCACTTTATACTCATGACTGTAATCCCTTAATTTTGAGTAACACAAATTATTTCGCCGAAAAAAAAAGATCCAACCATCTGGTGGTAGCCTGGTGGTGTCCCCTTGAAGAATCATGAAAGGACTAGTGTAGGCCTGAGAGGATTATCCTGTTGCAACCGTTGCTAGAGCTCAAGAAAGGCTAAGGAGCTGTTCGGGAAGCCTCCAGCTCCGCCAGATTCAAAGATCCACAGAGTACCTATTTCCTAGCTCCGTAAATTTAAACTGTGGCTCCGGCTGCTCCAGGAGCGGAGTTATGGAGTGGGAGGGACTCCGAACAGGCCCTAAGTTTGAATATTCCTGAATATTGTCAACATAATATTGATTCCTGGATCCATTTGGCTATTTGTTTTTGTAATGATCAGGTACTCAAGTTGACTATGGCTCTTAATATAAACGGAGTACTCAACTAAACAAGAGGGGTGTCGACCTCACCTGTTGTTGTCTCTGGTACGATGATGATGAGAGATAAGAGCATCTCCAGCCGTTCGGCCCCCCAAGGCGCCGAAAAACTGCGACCTGGGGGCGAGCCGGCGCTAGTTCGGCCCCTGGGGGCGGCCTAGCTCCCAGCGACACCCCCAGGCGCCGCCCCCCAGCCACGACAAATTCAAACGTAGTTCATTCCCGCGCCCAAAATAGACGCCACAATCCGGCGATCAAGCGCCCAGTAGATCGGCGATCGGATGAAAAATTCGGCGTACAAAAAGCAGAAAGGATGGATGGCAAAGCATCAGGCGGCGAGGTCGGCCTCCGGCGTCGGCGGAGTCGGTGTGCGCGGGCTTGACGGGGTCTCTGTGCTTGGCGGCGTGGCTTTTGTGCTGCGGGCAGTCACTACACCACACACTAGAATTCCCTACCGATGTCTGTTGGGAAAAATTCACTATTGCCGACTCACAGTTGGCCAAAAAAACTTCTAACAGACTATGGGTCAGGGAATGTATATACAGTGACCCGAAGTCGGTCGGGAATGCTACATAATACGCCTTCCACCAGTCGGTCGGGAATTCTCCCACGGCCCACAGACCATCGGTCGGGAAATAACCCCGACCAACACTCGGACGCTAAAGGGCCTCGCGCGCGAATTGCTAAATCTTTAGCGCCAAAAGGCCCAACAACCCGCGAATTTTTTTCCCGCAAAGCAGCTCCTTTCATTTGTCTAAAAAAAACTCCTTTCGTTCCCCACGAGAAGAGTCAGCCAAATCCCTAGCACCACGCTTCCAAATCCCGGAGGCCTGCCGTCGTTCTCCACGTCGTCCCACTGCCGCCCCACGCCGCCCAACTACCGCCCCAGAGCCGCCGCCGTCTCGTTCCCATCTCCCAACTCCGGTACGCTCCTGCTTACCATCTCGACCTCTGCTCTTTCGGCGGGTTGCTGCTTCTGATTTCTGCCATTTGATTCGTGCAGCTCGTCCGACCGCGCTGGTCGCGGATGCTGGGGCTTCTCGGCTCCCCGTCGTGGCCGCATCTGCCGCGGGACACCAGCGGCTGATTGGGTCACTGACCAACACCGAGGGGCTCAGGTTCGGCGTGGTGAGTGATTGGATTGTTCCTGTGTAGCAACCTCTTGGCTAGCAAGCGACTTTACTTAATAAGAGACATGCCCGAGTCCAGTTTGAACAAATATGCCTATGTGCGCTAAGAAGCATATTAACATGCGAACATACCTCACTTTGTAATATGGCCTCCTTTGACTTAATTTCTTCCAGTGTCAAGTTTGACTGTAGACCTTTTATCTCTGCGACATGATTTGTACTCAGCTACTAATGGTTGGTTACAACATTTGTGAAGGACCAGAGACCATGGCACCATATAGAACTTGCCAGATTCGGCCTCACTAGTAATGTTATTTTGTTCTGCAAGTTCTTCCTGTAGCTTGCTATTTGCTTTCTTCATTTCCTCAAGTTCTTCCCCATTTTGGAATGTCAACCTGATCTTGCCGAGCAAGATAGATTTTCTGCTTGCCATACTCCTTGAAGGGTATTTGACCACTGTCAGCCAATGCATCCAGCCATTATTGATTTATACACTGTTTCTCATGATTTTGTTGTCATATTTAGAAATGCAGCATTATGCATTGTGTCATCATTACTGCCTTTTTCACGAACTTGGATAGAGCTACACTTGTACATGCGACCTGACTTGCATTTCTCTCCTTTTTTCTGCAGGTAGCACAGAGGACAACTGTTGGTAGCATTGAGCTGACGAAGAGAAGTGGCAGATTTTTTGCTACGACACCTTAGTGCATAAGGTGTGTGGAGTGTTGTATATTTTTGCTTTTAGTATATGATTTCTTGATGTGGTGCCTTTGAGTCTGGCTGTTATCTTAGTGTATTACTAGCATATCTCCCAGCCAATATAGCGTGTGACCAAGAATTGAAGTTTGCCACTGATTCTTATATTGTCTAATTTGGTTGGTTATTAGGAATTTAGGATTCTTGCTCCATGTACTGCTATACGTGTGAGTTTTGCAGGTGGATGCATTGGTTCTGCTAGGACAAATATAGATGGACTAGTTCTTAAAGCAAGTGATATTGAAAAAAGTAAGTGTTCTGTATGATTCTTTAATGTTTTGTATTTTCAGAGATGTAGTCATATAGTGTCTTTTGCAGGAGGAACTCCTAGCTCACAATATGGTTCCAATTCTCGACAAGTAATGAACTATTTCCACATCTTTTCATTGCATCATCAATCCATCTTGCATGCAATAACTCTATTTCAATGTTATTGTCTAATAGAACTCAAGAGATGAAGCTGAGGAAGATAAAGATGGTGATGAAGATGATGAAGAGCTCTTTGTTCATAGAAGAGTCATTGCAAAGCCCCCTGCAAGAAGCTCATCAGCCCATGAAGATGAAAGCCTTGTAATCTACTCATCCTTACATATATATTTAAATTCTATTTTGTATTCATGTTTCTAAAACAATCATTGATTCAGATTGGTATGGATGTGCTTCTATATGCATGGACTGGTCCTGAAACTCCTGTTGCTAAGGCAACAATTATCTCACTTGACCCAGACACTATTGTGGGCGGAGAGCCTCTTGGACCAGCAACTTATGAGGTTCTTGTCGATGTTGCGATTAGAAGGGATGCTACGGTGCCTTATGAATATGACGGTTTACAAATAATCGCTGATGCTGTCAGAAGGTCCATTGCATGGCCATCTAGCAAGGTAATCACCAACAATGTATGTTTTGTCCACTTGCCTCGAATTGTTTGACGTGTGATACTGACTCGCGATCACTTTGCTAGATGAAGCCCTACAAGCCAGGGGCATCTTCCTCATCCCGCCATTAAGGTACTGTACAAGAGATGCTTCTTGGTGCTTCCTTGCTCCAAATACACAAGTAGGAGATGTGCAAGTGTACGGTAGATTCAGTCTTTATGTATCTTATACCAACTGAACACAAGTAGGAGATGTGCACAAGTGTACGGTAGATTCAATCTTTATGTATCTCAAAATACACAAGTAGGATATGTGCAAGTGAATGGTCAGGTGCAACCTAAGTCTTGGATCCTAAAGTAGTCATGCAATTTTTTTAGTTCTGCCACTAGCAATAAATTAGATTCATGTCCATATAGTACATTGTATCCTGTTTCCGAGTCCTGATTCATGTCCATAAAGTAGTCGTACACAATTGATCAGTAAGTATCAGAAAAAACCTAGTATTTATAATATGCACGTACATACAGATTAATAAGTAGTGTACATATCTTTAGTAATTGTGCAGATGCCAGTTAAGCCTTTATATATTGCAAAAGAAATGTGTAACCTGCTTCTATGTTTGAGCTATTAATTCTAAATCTCTGACATATTTTTCCTTGTATGGCCTGAACAGTAAAGCAAATATTGGTCATTAGCACAACTCATCTTTATTTCTCTTATGCATAACCTGTTGGTTTCATAGGTTTTGGCTCTTACCTATGAAGATTTGTAATGTG